ATCGGCACGTGGAAGTAGGCGTCCCTTAAGTCCACGGTTGTGAACCACTCCCCCTGTGTGACAACACGGAGGGTGTCTGCTGTGGTCAGCATGTGGAAGGGCAGCACCCTCAGGAATCTGTTGATTCCTCTGAGGTCCAGTACTGGACGAAATCCGCCGACTTTCTTGCTCACCAGAAAGTACGCCGAGTAGAACCCCCCGGACTGAAGCAGGGGGTCCACTGGCTCGATTGCGCCCTTGGCCAAGAGGACGGACAGCTCTTGGGCCAGAGCTAAGGCCTTCGCCGGGTCGCTGACAACTGTCATCTTGACCCGGCCGAAGGCTAGGGGCCGGCGTCGAAACTGCAATTCGTATCCCTGGGTTAGGGTGGAAACCACCCAAGGGTCGGTAGTACAGGCAGCCCAGTAGCTGAGCTGCTGCTGGGAAAAGCAGCCGACGACCGGCCCAGGGACTTCAGGGCCTAGCCCCCCGACCCCTTGGGGGGCGGCGGTAAGGCTGTGGGGCCCGGGGCTGCCTAGAGGGCTGGCGACCGGGGGCACGAAAGTCATTAGGAGGCGGTTGAGTAGACCGCTGGGACCTCCGCAGACCACCACTGAAAGCCAGTGGCAGAGTGCGGCTGCTAGAGGGGCCCCTGGGCCTGCTGGGAGTAGGCACAGGCCTACGTAGACCCGAGAGCTGCTGCCTGGTCTGTCTAGCTTGGGCAGCACGCTCTAGTGCCGCCAGGGCAGCTGCTCCAAACAGCTCCCCTGGTTCGACCGGCACGCCGCAGAGGACACTCCTACATGTCTCCGTTAGTGGTGACTGAGCCAGCCAAACCTGGCGTCGAGTCTGCACCAGTAGGGACATAACTCGTCCCAATTCCCTAGTCATTAGGGCAAAGGCCTGCAGTGAAGCGTCACTGAGGCCCAGCAAAGAAGGCTCAGCCGGAGCCTGCTGCAGAGAGGCGGAGGCGGCCAGCATTAGATGGGAGAGAGAGTTCCCGATACGACCCATGCGTGCCGCTGCGTCGTAGGCCTTACAGAGCAGTTCGTCAGTGACCCTGCACTGAGGCAGAGGGCACCTGGCATCAGGCCTTAGGGCCTCATCAGGAGCCAGAATCAGGGAGGCGATGGCAGGCTCGATGGGTGGCATGCGACCCAGCCCCACCCTCGCCGGATCCTGCATGGCAGCCAGGGTCCGGCCAACAGAGCTGAAGCGGGAGAGGGCCTTGGTGTCTCTCCAGCATGCATGGAGCTCCCTCAGGTACTCCTCCGAAGGAGGAACAGTGAGGGGGACAGGGGTAGGGCTACGCCTGAAGAAGGCGCTAGCCTGAGCCGCGTCGGCCTGCGGAACAGGAAGCTGCAAGTGTGCCAGGGCCGCACAAATAATGGCCGCCATGGAGGCGTCCTCCACGCCCTGCAGAGAGCCCTGAGCAGAGGAGTGGGAAGCCTCCCCGGGAGTGAGCGGGGCCTCGTCCTCCACCTCTTCGTTGAAGAGGTTAGCCGAGGCCGCTAGTGACATGGCATCCTCATGCAGAGGTGCGGCAACCGAAGGAGGGGCAGGCGGCAAGCCAGCAGCCCCTATACCGGCCCCTGGTTGAAGGGCTAAGAGGAGCGACTTCATCATGTCCATGTCGGCGGCTAACCGATCCACCTTAGAGGACAGCCTGTTAGGGGGCGAACCCGTAGCCATCGCTCCCTCGGGTCGCCGGGAACGGCCAAACTGACCTAGGGGAAGATGCGACAAGGAGAGGTGTCCGTTGGCTGCTGCCAGACGCTCCACCTCTGCGACTCTGGCCGCTCTAAGCGCCCAAGGCATACAGCTACAGTTCATGCAGGCGTCCTGCGTGAGACCCTCCCTCAAATGCTCGAGACCAAGGCAAGAGGGGCAGCGGTCGTGGCCATCCTCGGGCTCGAGAGAAGCCATACAGGCGCTACATGGATGAGCCATCATGTAGGTAGCCTTAAATCCTTAAATCCAAACGTTCCAACTGAACGCTGTAGGCTACAATAGTGTAGCCACGGTACTCTCGCGCAGCGAGAAGATGAAAGGAACAGATCCTCTGATGACACGGGCTGATATAGCCGGTGTCACGTGGGTCACAGGTGACTTTGTTGATATTGGTACTCGTACTGCGCATGCGCACGATGGACATATCCAGTGCTAAAAGCACCGCCTCTGGCGGTCAGTAGGGACGAAATAGAACTAAACTTTAAACACCACATTGAAGTTCTAACTAAGAAATTTAAATTCACTCTTGGCTTCCTTTACAGATTTAAACGTTGTTTTTCAACTTCTTCCGGTAAAAGGTTGGTCTCTGGCTTATTCCTGTCCCAGCTTGACAACGGTGATACAATCTATAGATTTGCCTGTCCCACTGTTTTGGCCAAACTTGACCCACTCTACCATGTTGCACTGCGATATATATCAAATGCACCCTATCGGACTCATCATGCACACTGTATAGCCTAACTAGATGGTCCTCACTTAGTATGCGTAGGATGCAGCATTGGTTTTTATTATTGTATAAAGCCATTTTAGGTAAGCTTCCACTCTACATATGTGCCAGATTTGCTCCAGTTTGTGACTCTTACAACCTCAGATCCAGTGCCTGGATACGGTTCCAGGTACCTGCCATGTGGACTGACCCCTAGATTCCACCGGGTCCGTCTGCGCCGCGTTACGGCTGCGCCGCGGTTTTGGTCCGGCCTCCTCCGGCGTCATACCCTACCAGGCGCGTTTCAGAAGCATTTCAGAAGCGGAGCGTCTTGCCTGCCGGCTCGCAGTTTTTGTTGATTTGGGCATATTTCCTGGACAGGCTACTTTGTACAGACAAAGTTAATAATAATTGTAATATTCCAGTTATAAACGACATGAATCAAAGATGTGTTGCTGTATTTTAGTGGTAAAAAAATGCATTCATCATCATAATTATTCTATATATATAATTTACACAGTGCCTGTAAACCGGAGGAGAACGCTGGCATTTCTCCTCCTACTTGAAAGACTACGGAGGGATAGGGTCTGCAAAATTAGTTTGTGTGTGTGTATATATATATATATATGCTATATATGCTCTGAACGTTCCACTTCCTGCCTGCCCGACATTACGTTACGGCTGCGTCACGTCAAAAATAGGATTCATCCTAATTTTAGAGGAGCCCTCCGCCGAGACGCTTCTGGGACGCTTCTGGGACGCTTCTGGGACGCTTCTGGGGCGCTTCGGAGCCGTAATGCGCCGTGTGTGGTGGAATAGCACCCATTGACTAGAGTGGCCGCGATCGCTGTGCGCAGCGCGGCGCAGCCGTAACGCGGCCGCAACGCGGCGCAGACGGACCCGGTGGAATCTAGGGGTGAGGCTGAAGAAAGGAGTGTTTTTTATTATGGTCCTTGGTCTTGGAATGACCTTCAATCAAGCCTCAAACTGATGGCACTTGTCCCTATAGCCTGTTTTAAATTGAAGTTGTCTGAGGTCCTTACCACCAGCTGCTCTTGCAGTAACAAGTAGTGTACCTTTCTTACTGTCCCAAATGTGCACAATGTAGTGACTGCTTTTTGTCTTTTGTTTACTTAGTTGTGTTCTCTGTATTTTACATGTCTGTGTTATGTGTAAGAATGTGTAACGTTGCTGCCTTCTTGGCCAGGTCAGCATTGTAAATGAGATTTTATCTCAATGCTTTTATCTGGTTAAATAAAGGTTAAATAAATAAATACATTCCACTCAAATCAAAAAGCTCAATCTTCTGCAATTTCAAAATTGCTCATGTCTGTATTTTCATATTTTTTTCCTCCAGTCAATACTGCAGTGCCGGGCGACAGTAAGTGATGCTGCTGCTGTTTGGAGCCCAGCTGCTGTCATCGCTGTCTGACTGCAGAGGGACGCACCCTGTCTCCGTCCCAGGTGTCACACATGGTGGCAAACGCTGCTGCACGTCCACACACACACTTTAATACATGACTGCGCTTCAGTCACATACGGACATAAATGAAACCAAACCATCTGTCGAGAATATTGTGTAATTCTAAGAAAACTGTCGCTTACGAAACATTTATTTTAGATTAACCCTCACTCCAAAAACTAAATCGTTGACTTTAATTAAATGTATTGTGTCAACACATTTCACATCACTGTATCAGGTTAGTTTAACCTGTTAAGCCCTGAGCCTGTTTTTCAGGTCTCAGGCTCGAAAATGACATTCCCAGAACAAATGACCATAACTTCACTTCTAAAAGGGTTAAATTAATAATCTTTTTTCTCAAAGTAATGATAAACCTGTGAGTTGGATGTAGAAAAGTCAGAATCAATATAGATGTTTTTTATTTTAAAGAAAATTCAGATTTTACATAGTAAAAAACTGTAAATTATAGTGTCCGTCCAAAAAAAAACATTACTTATAGTGAAAACCACCCTTGAATGATGGGTTAGTAGACTACAAGCTTTAGGAATCCAAACTATAACATATAATAAGTACCCTGTATAAAAAAAAAAGGGTGTTGAATAAAATGTGGTGATGCTCAATGGTTTCCGTGTTAATGTAAGAGCAGTTAAAACAGACCGGGAACACAACAGTAAGGGGGAAAACTAACACGACAGGAGGGTTAAGATAGATACTATGGTACCAAATTAATGCCACAGAGAATAAAGCGACTGACACCCTACAAGAATAAGAATTGCAGTGCTGGAATAATGCGCCAGACAGCCCCCCCCCCCCAGCTTTCATAACAGCTGAAGAAGGGCAGACAGATGCCACAGTGCAAAGCCACAGTACATTCTGCATCTCCATATGGAATAATAGGAGTAAAGGCCTAAATGCCCCTCAGAAATCCATTAAAAGCCGCTCTGAAACACACACGCACACACACATCTGTGTTTTAGATCCTCTTAGTCAGACAGGCTGCAGTGCTTTACCCCCCCAGCCTAAAGCATCTGACTCACACCCAGGATCTCTGACAGAGGAGTCAAAAATAAACCATGAAGGGAAAAAGTGGTGAGAGATTAAAGTTTAAAGCTTTTTTTTTACCTGTGGTGCACTATGTAGGTGATGATGGAGGCGAAGAGGCAGAGCAACATGACCGCCGTGCAGGCATACACGACCGGGTGCAGAAACTCCCCAGGGTACGGGGGGAAAGACAGCACCTTCTTCAGATCCTGAGGAAAGAAGAACAAAGTGGGGGTGAGACAGAAGTCCTGCTAAATATACACTGAAAAAAACGGAAACGTTGACATTTATTTAAAGTCAGTGTCTCAGTTTTTTCAGTGTAGTTTCATCAACATAACATTTTGAAATGACTGCTAAAGACACATCGTTTTAGATTGCAATGTTGCACTTGGTAAAAGAGGGGTTCATTTGAATTACTGTATGCAATAGATTAACCTATAATAATATATGATAATGAATTATTTGATTTATATGTTGTATTCATATTCAAAATCTGCAAAGTAACTAAAGCTGTAAAATACAGTATATGTAGTGCAGTAAAATTACAATATTTGCCAACAAAATGTAGTGGAGTAAAGTATAAAGTAGCAAAAGGTGACCTTCCATCACTGACAATCAGCCAACAAGAACAGTTAGTAAACTGTGACATATGCAAGGAAAATACCAATAAATGTCAAGGAAATGCAGTCAGAATGTGTTCCAAATCAGAATAAAAGAGTAACAACAACCCCGTCGAGTGAATATCTCCCCCCCCCCCATATTAACATATTGCATTTCAGGCGTTTAGCTGACACTCTTAGTCAGAGCGACTGAGTGCAACAATAGCATAATCTGCTTAGTCTGCCAACATAAAGAGAAAAACTAAAATGGATAGCAGCCAGGCAGAAAGACAAAATTAAGTCTCTCTTTGTGGCACAGACGCTCATTAAGCTCTTATCAACATCACAGTCCGTTTGCTTTGTGATTTATTCTACATGAAGTGTACAAGACACTCTCACAGCATGACAGAAACAAATGACAACTCAGAGCAGACACAAGTTTTTACGCAGTTTTAAATGAATTGGTCACTCTTTTGAGCATTTTGCTTACATTATATGTTTTTTTTCAGCCAGTGTTTTATCCCTTTTCACCTGTAGTGGGTTGCAACATGTATGGAATTTTATTGTTGTATTTGTCACTTCAGTAGCACTTACACACAACAAACGTTTTAGTTTAATTCCTTTCTCTATTCTGAAGTATCCTCCTGATGGTTTGTTCATTCACAGCCTAGATAATATAACTTTATATATTTGTTAAAGGCTGTTGTATATGTATTAATACTAAGAAAGGTCCCAAATTCCATCTGTAAAACGTCACTGTAATAAAGAAGAAGATAGAAGATTACCCATTATTAATCCTTTTGGGGAAAATCTGTTTTTTGCGCAACACATGCGTCCTTTTCATTGAGAGGGGCCAGAGCAAAGACGCTAGCAGGTATTCTTGCACCAAGGAAAGGTATAGTGGCTTGATCAATCACATTGAACGTAATCTGCTAAGGGGCGGGACATCTCTAACAGCTTGACCAATCACAACAGAGCCGGCCAGCTAACCAATCAGAGCAGACTGGGCTCTGGTTTCAGACAGAGGGTGAAAAGAAGTGCTGCAGCACAGGCAGTATGAGAAAAATAAAGAGCTTTTTGAACATGAAAGCATGGAGACATGTCCCAGTAGAGACACTACATACTGATATGAACCAGAGAATGGTCATTATGTGCTCTTTAACTTACCGTAATCACATGTAGTGTCTCCCCTTGATCATTTAATTTGTTGTTGTATTAACCAGTTAAGCCCTGAGCCTGTTTTTCAGGTCTCAGGCTCGAAAATGACATTCCCAGAACAAATGATTATAACTTAACTTCTAAAAGGGGTAAATTAAATTTTAAAGTAAATTCAGATTGAACATAGTAAAAAAATGTAAATTATAGTGTCCGTCCAAAAAAAAAATTACTTATAGTGAAAACCACCCTTGAATAGTCCGCTTCTCTGGTGCGCACCAGACCTCAGTTTGTTACATTGTTTCATTTTTCAGAAGGTTCAGTTTGCGTTCACACGGGCAAAATTCAAACAGACTATAAACTTTAAACACAAGTCATGTGCTCGGAAATGCTGTTCAACAATTGGTCAGACATTAAGGGGGTAAAAACGCAAATCCCGGCAATTTCTACCGGAGCCTCCGCCATGGAGCATCGGCAGGTTATTTTCATGCTGTTGTTAATCTGGAGAGCAGATCAACAGCAACGGCGCATATGATTATATAATCAGACAACGTGCGATACAAAACATTATAACACATATAATGAGAGACGTTCTGCAGTAAGGAGGGGGTTTCACCGACGGCAGGTGTCTCTGACTTTTATGTATAGTTTTTATTTTGATAGTTGTTTTTACTTTACACGACACTGTTCAACACTTCATTCTGCTTCACTCTTTCGGCTTCGCTAACGATTTTGAAGACACCCGCGTTCTTGTGACACGTAAATACTACGCTTCCTATGTTTTGGTGCGGACTGCGTTCACACCAGCGATGAACCGCTCCAGAGTTCACTAGCAAGCGGTCCGAGACCACCTATTTTAGCGGACCAGAGTCCGGTTGTTTAGTTCACTTCAGAGGTCTCGGATTGTGTTCACACCGACCCAAATGAACCGCACCAAGCGGCTAAACGCACCAGGGTTCGATTCATCCGGACTATAAACGGCTGGTGTGAACGCACCCTAAAAGCTTTAGGAATCCAAACTATAACATATAATAAGTACCCTGTATCAAGATTGATGCAAAACAAGTGGAATTTGACCTTTTTAGAGAGATTTAGAAAAGAAAACCCACTTCTGGGGTCATTAGGGTGGGTTTTCCATATCTCTGGAACCCATCGGTCGATTTTGATGATTGACATCTCTTTTTAACCGTTAGAGCCAATAGAATCAAAGGGAAGTCCCTAAAATCCATCTAAACATTACCCATTGGTGAATGAGTGATGCGCAGCCAGAATGCCCCGGAACCGGAAGCTGCGATACACTCTGGTGGCTACCATTAGCAGCTAATATGAAATCTCTGTTTTTGACATAAAAATGGAATGATGGATTATCAGTAATCATTTCAAAGTGACACAGACACATTGGATTAACCATTGGATTAACCTTCAGCAGCGTTGTTATCGTTTTAATGCCATTGAACACGACTTTTGATCAGAATAACAGCTAAGGTGAGACGATCTCCCGTGAATGCTCCGTAATGCTACGTGTTGTGATGTCTGTGTTTGCTTCCCCTATATACTAATACCTATAGAATCTGTGGAATATCAGCTTTAATCTGATATCTTGTTTGTGCAGTTACGATAAGTAATAAGGGTATTTTTACCTTGAGTTCTGTGCTAAGCGCGTTAGCATTTTTTCGCTCAGGGCTCATTTAGACGCTTCCGGTGAAACTTGTGTTTTGTTTTGGTAAAAATGGTTCATATCGTCAGTTAGCTGAGTTTCTTCCCGTTAAGTGAGTATGACACATTAATAGGTTTTTAAATGTTAAGAAGCCCTGAGACACAGTTTCGTGAAAAAACACCCCGCAGGCCCCGGATTAGGGGCCTCTCGGGTTTAACAGGTTAAGAGACAAAACAAGCTATTTTAAAAACTGTTCACCCATTTAGCGTCTGTGTGTGAGCCAGCAGTGTTGCTAAATAAAGCACCCCCCCTCCTGTATCCCATAACCCTGCCAGCTCACTGTGAGTTTGTGTCTGTGAGAGTGATACACACACACACACACACACACACACACACACACACACACACACACACACACACACACACACACACACACACACACACACACACACACACACACACACACACACACACACACACACACTGTCTGTCTCTGTCATTGTCTCGGTGCGTAGCCAAGTGGGATATTCTCTGTGTGTTTATCCGAGGGCTGATGAGCCTGTCGGGGCCTGCGAGGGGTCGCGACCTTGACCCGAGCATTTATAAGCACGGTTGTAAAGCAGTGGCCCGAGATGAAATAAAAGCTTTGGGGACAGGACACCTGGGACATGTAGAGCTGTGGTGCAGACACTTAGTCCAACACTCAGCACTGAGCCCATTAAACACTCCCCTCTGTTTCTAGAGAGAAAAGGGAAGTGAAAAACAAGAATCCAAGACATCCATCCAAGTCTTTAAGAGCTTTTTTCACAATTCAACCTTAAGAGGGATTCATTCTTTGCCATTTTTGGAGGTAAAGTTAGATTTTTCCAGTAGATTACTTTATTGTAAACTAATAAAATACATAATTTCAAGTTTCCCACCGATTTATCCATCTGTCTATCCATCACTTACTACCCTCTACCTCTTGGTGTCAGGTACATCTACTGAAGTACTGAAAATATAAACATTTGGAGTATTTTTCGTTGTATGCAAAATGTTCTACTTTGCTACATGTTATAGGCACATATTGTATGTTTTGCTCCACTGCATGTTTTCGCTAATTAAAGTTACTTTTCATAATCACATTTTCAATTCTAAATATAATCACTATAAATAAATTAAGATATATTATTATACGTAGGATAAGCTACCAAGAAATATATTGAAAAATGTAAATGAGATCCACCTTCACAAGACACAGTATATAAGTGATTAACACATTATCTATAATGAAATGGGCCATAATGAGTACTTTTACTCTTGTGTAATATTTTGAATGCAGGACGGGGTACAGAGAAGAGATACAACATGATCCTGTTTGCTAGTTATCCGCATTTACATTTACAAAAACTGTTTTTTTTTATGCCCTGATAAGGTAATCCCTTTAAATGTAATCCATTACTTCCCAAGCCTGCTCATGGAGGTAACTTTAGCCTAATTAGCTAGCTAGCTAGCTACAGCTGGTTGTAATGTCAGATGGCATAATCTTTTTCTAGAGACCAGAAGCCAGCTTTCATCTACTTCTGAAATCAGGCAGCCATTGTTCAAAGAAAGAGTAATCATTTTGAGGATTAAAGCTGCCATCGTTATCATAGTCAACAGAAATCCTTGTTATTCTTTCAGGAAAAAGGACAGTACATACAATACATCTTTGGAAGGGAGGAAATGTCACCCAAATTGTTCCCAATAAGACCCCAGCCAGGCATAACAACATGCACTGACCAAATCAAATCATTACTGGAAAATAACAATATACTGG